CACATACACGTAGGAGGTAAGAACACACACATGGGGACGTACGACAGAAACATGGGGAGGTAAGACAGACACATGAGAGTAACACATACACGTGGGAGGTGGAACATACACGTGGGGATGTAAGACAGACACATAGGGAGTAACACATACACACGTGGGGAGGTAAGACAGACACATGGGGAGGTAAAAACAGACACATAGGAAGTAACACATTCACGTGGGGAGGTAATAAAGACACATGGGAGATAAGACAGACACATATAGGCAAGACAGACACATGGGGAGAAACACATACACTGTGGGAAGTAAGACAGACACATGGGAGGTAAGACAGACACAGGAGAGTAACACATACACGTAGGGAGGTAAGACATACACGTGGGGGTAAGACAGAAACATGGGAGGTAAGACAGACACATGGGGAGTAACACATACGTAGGAGGTAAAACACACACATGGGGACGTACGACAGAAACATGGGAGTAAGACATACACGTGGGGAGGTAAGACAGACACATGGGAGTAACATACACGTGGGAGGTAAGACAGACACATGAGTAAAAAACAGACACATAGGGAGTAAAACATACACGTGGGAGGTATAACACATACACGTGGGGAGGTAAGACAGACACATGGGAGTAACACATACACTTGGGGAGGTAAGACAGACACATGGGAGGTAAAACAGACACATAGGGAGTAACACATTCACGTGGGAGGTAAGACATACACTTGGGGAGGTAAGACAAGAAACATGGGAGGTAAGACAGACACATATGGAGCAAGACAGACACATGGGGAGAACACATACACGTGGGGAAGTAAGACAGACACATGGGGAGGTAAGACAGACACATGGGGAGTAACGCATACACGTGGGGAGGTAAGACATACACGTGGGGAGGTAAGACAGAAACATGGGGAGGTAAGACAGACACATAGGGAGTAACATACATGTAGGGAGGTAAGACATACACGTGGGAGGTAAGACAGAACATGGGGAGGTAAGACAGACACATAGGGAGTAACATACACTTGGGGAGGCAAGACAGACACATGGGGAGGTAAGACAGAGACATGGGGAGATAAGACCGACACATAGGGAGTAACACATACACACGGGGAGGTAAGACAGACACATAGGGAGTAACACATACACATGGGGAGGTAAGACGGACACATGGGGAGGTAAGACAGACACATAGGGAGTAACACAAAAACATGGGGAGGTAAGTGAGACATGCTCCTCATGTTCCCGGGGGCACCACCCAGCCTCCGGGAGCACCACCTACCTACAGGAGCACCATCCAGTAGGGTGTGTCGCCTGGAGGCAGATTTTTTTTTGAGTTTGAAAAATCGGCCCATGGTATTAATGATGTAGTTCTATGTGCAGAATCATGATATCTTCAGATTTGAAAAGTTTTTATTTTTGCTAGGTAAATTTTAACTTGAAATCTTATGAAAATTCAGTATTCCCACCCTTTTACCAACACCACTAAATAAGCTTATTTAAGTAAAGTAAATGTATCAGGTTAATTTATTAGGATGAAAATGATCCAGAATAGTGAAACGAATGATCTTGACACATTTATTAAATTTAATATTCCTTTAGAAAACAAAATCATCAAATACAAAAACCGGTTTTACTACTACGACCCCGGTGTTGCTGCACACCATAGAACATGTCTTTCTTGCTTCTGTTTCTACTCATCACCTCCCTGCTGACCACCTGAGCTCGGATGTAGCCTTCCCTCCCTCTCCTGGCTGTACCACGTGACTGCTGGCCTCGCTCACTTGCTGTACGCAGCTCTATACTCTGGGTGTGCGAGGGCCAGGCAGGACATGCATGGGGTTGTCCAGGAAAGCTCTGACTTGAACATTGGTGAGGCTGCAGGTAGAGGGGCTCACTGCCAGCCTGGATATCCAGATCTATGAGATCATTGAGGGTCTGGCACCTAGATTGACTTCAGGAGTCTTCCTGACCTGAAGGAATCGTCACCAACTGATTCGTCATCCCAGATCCTCTCATAAGTCTCATATCCAAGATCTTTTGACTGCCACTCTTCTCCTCCTCATCCTTACTGAGCATTGTCTGCAGAACTGCCTCGGGATGAGCATACCAGGAAGATCTCCTCACAGTCTGCTCCACAATCTGAACAACCTTCCTTGGCTGACTCCTCAGGAGCTCTAAGCTGGAAGAGAACATGCCTCGGACCTTCGGAGAAAATGACTTGACCTTGGTGTTAGAACCAATTTGGCAAGTAGACACTCACGATGAATTGGACAATAAGTCTCAGGTTGTGAAGCTGGTTCCTTTTCAGTTTATGATGAGCGACCCAAATTCTGCAGAACCTGAGAGCCGTTGTGAGCCACCTAGAATGTGAGACTGGACCTATCTGCAGGTAAGCAAGTCTATCAGGCATGACCCCAGTTTTGATGGCACTGCAAATCATGTAACCATAGCACTGGTCAGTACCCAGGTCGTCAATGACAGTATGTGCAAGCTCAACAGTGAAGGGCCAACTGTGATTTTTCAAAGCTCGGATTTATTTCTAACTCAGTGGCAGAGTCCAGCATCTTGCCAAGAGGACCAGACCACAAATACTTCCCTCCTGGTTCACTGCAGCAGGAGTAGTGTTCCTCCTTCACCATGTCAGAATCTCCAACTTTCATGAACACTTTAGTGTCATCCCTTCTCCCATCAAAGAACAAACAATTGATTCCATTTTCTCTTATCCCCTTATCAAACTCCTCTTCTAGGTTACTGACAAGTTTCTCCTGAGCTCTCCTTACTTTGTTATGATCTATCACCAGGTGAACATCATCAGGTGTTATCAAACCACCGTCAATCCAGGCAGCTGTTGCTATCTCTGCAGTTTCTCTGAGACCAGTGTGGTGTCGCATGCTGGCCAGAGCTATGCTCGGGATATCTTTCCTATTTCGAATCTTATGCCTGGAAGGTTTGGGATCATTATTTTCTGGGTTAGGGACAAAGTCACCATTCTCCTGGTCAGCACTCGGATCAGCCATGGGGAAGTCATTAAACTCTGAATCAGCTTGACTCCAATCATCGGCCTTTTTTACCTCACCCTGGGCTTCTCAAGTCTCTTTTCCTCGGCACCTCTTCTCCTCTTCTGTCTCTCTGTGGCAGCCTCCTGTCTCTTGGACTCCGGAATATCTTGGCTAGAAATCATGAGAGCCCCTATACTGCCAGTCTTCTCTCTCTGTGCTTTGACAAATGCCAGTTCGATCACAGGAATCTTCAGTTCACGCTTGCAAATACAGGAGATGTGGGCCTCAGATTTACAATCACGATCGCATCCAAACTCAGGACAGAGAACAATTGGGCACTTGCAAGTAATTATGTCAAATAACTGGTCCAGTTGCTTGGCAAAGCTGTCCTTAACTGCAAGTTTTCCTCTCCCAAGAGAGATATCTCTTGCCTTTTCCCAACTGGCTAGCAGTCTCTCACTAATCTTCTTCTGACTTGTTATGACTGGAGGCTTGAACTGAGCGTTAGCCAGAGTGTACTGTGCCAAGACAGCTTTGGTCATATCACTGGCAATGTCTTTGTTTGTGTAAGTTGTTTGGTTCTTTTCACTGATTTGCCTGATTAAAACACCGTATCTCAAAGCATCTCTCAATGTAGGCAACTCCGACTTCACGAGCTCTCTCCCAGACCCAAGATAGTGACTGAGATGGCTGGATTTTTGGTTCCTCGTCCTGACACAAGCAGCCATCGCAAATATTATCAACTTATAAATGCATCAGAATCTGAAACAGAAAACAATATTGTTAGTTGGGTTGCTAAAGAATGAAGTCAGAAAGCAATGTTCACTATTTAATTGTAATGCACTAATGCAGCTGTACGTTAGATTTTCGATCAATTTCAGGCTAAAATTTACCTAGCAAAAGGTTGCAAAATATTGAAACTGAAATTATTTTCTGTTTATATACACTAAAATCTACCAAAAAAGTGATGGGCCATTAGTTTTAGCTGATCTTCCCTCCTATGACACACCCTACCATCCAGCCTCCAGGAGCGCCATCCAGCCTCCAGGAACACCAGCCAGCCTCCAGGAGCACCACCCAGCCTCCTGGAGCACCACCCAGCCTCCGGGGGCACCTCCCAGCCTCCAGGGCACAACCAGCCTCCAGGCCCGCCCATCCTCAGGAGCACCATCTTTCCTCCAGGGGCTTTACCCAGGCTCAGGAGCACCATCAGCCTCCGGGGCACCACCCAGCCTCCTGGAGCACCACCCAGCCTCCAGGACGCCATCCCAGCTTCAGGAACACCAGCCAGCCTCCAGGAGCACCACCAAGACTCCAGGAGCACCATCCAGCCTCCAGCAGCACCATCCAGCCTCCGAGGGCACCATCCAGCCTCCGGGGGCACCATCAAGCCTCCAGGGGCACCATCCAGCCTCCGGGGGCACCATCCAGCCGCCGGGGGCACCACCCAGCCTCCTGGAGCACCACCCAGCCTCCAAGAGCACCACCCAGCTTCGGGGCACCACCCGGCCTCAGGGCACCACCCAGCCTCCAGGGGCATCCCCTGCCTCCAGAAGCACCAGCGTCCAGGAGCACCACCCAGCATCCAGGCGCACCACCCAGCCTCCTGGGCACCACCCACCTTCAGGAGCACCATCCAGCCTCCAGGAGCACAACCAGCCTCAGGAGCACCACCCAGCTTCAGGAGCACCACCCAGCCTCCAGGGACACCACCCAGCCTCAGGACCACCACCCAGCCTCCGGAAGCACCATCCAGCCTCCAGGAGCACCACCCAGCCTCCAGGAGCACCACCCACGCCAGGAGCACCATCAGCCTCCAGGAGCACCACCCAGCTTCGGGAAGCACCCCCAGCCTCAGGGAGCACCACCCAGCCTCGGGGGCATCCCCAGCCTCCAGAGCACCACCCAGCCTCCAGGAGCACCATCCAGCCTCAGGGGCACCATCCAGCCTCCGGGAGCACCCAGCCTCCCTCGGGCACCCCAAGCCTCAGGGGCATCCCCAGCCTCAGTTAAACCACCCAGCCTCCAGGAGCACCATCCAGCCTCCCGGGGCTTCATCCACCCTCCAGGAGCACCTTCCAACTTCGGGGGCACTACCCAGCCTCGGGAGCACCATCCAGCCCAGAATCGCAATCCAGCCTCCACGAACACCAGCCAACCTCCAGGAGCACCACCCAGCCTCGGGAGCACTACCCAGCCTCCAGGAGCACCATCCAGCCTCGGGCACGCATCCCAGCCTCCAGGAGCACCACCCAGCCTCCAGGAGCACCATCCAGCCTCCGGGGCACCACCCATCCTCCGGGGCACCACCCAGCCTCCGGGGGCACCACCCATCTTCAGGAGCACCACCCAGCCTCCGGGGCATCCCCAGCCTCCAGCAAAACCATCCAGCCTCCAGGAGCACCATCCAGCCTCCAGGGTTCACCCAGCCTCCGAGAGCACCATCCACCCTCAGGAGCGCCATCCACCCTCCAGGAAACATCAGCCAGCCTCCAGGAGCACCCCAGCCTCCTGGGCACCACCCAGCCGCCAGGAGCACCATCCAGCCTCCGGGGCCCCCCAGCCTCCGGGAGCACCACCCAGCCGCCAGGAGCACCATCCAGCCTCGGGGGCACCACCCAGCCTCCAGGGCACCCAGCCTCGGGAGCACCATCCAGCCGCCAGGAGCACCATCCAGCCTCCGGGGGTTCCACCCAGCCTCCGAGCACCATCCACCCTCCAGAGCGCCATCCACCCTCCAGGAATATCATCCAGCCTCCAGGAACACCACCCAGCCTCCTGGAGCACCACCCAGCCGCCAGGAGCACCATCCAGCCTCCGAGGGGCACCACCCAGCCTCCGGGAGCACCACCCAGCCGCCAGGAGCATCCAGCCTCCGAGGGCACCACCCAGCCTCCGGGAGAACCAAGCCAGCCTCAGGGAGCACCACCCAGCCGCCAGGAGCACCATCCCTCCAGGAACACCACCCAGCCGCCAGGAGCACCACCCAGCCGCCAGGAACCATCCAGCCTCCGGGAGCACATCCAGCCTCGGGGCACCATCCCGGCCTCCGAGGGGCACCATCCAGCAGCTGGGGCACCACCCAGCCTCCGGGAGCACCACCCAGCCTCCGGGAGCACCAGCCTCAGGGGCACCATCCAGCCTCCGGGGAGCACCATGCAGCCTCGGGGAACACCACCCAGCCTCCAGGAGCACCACCCTGGCCTCCAGGAGCAGCATCAGCCTCAGCAGCACCATCCAGCCTCTGGGGCACCATCCAGCCTCGAGGGCACCATCCAGCCGCTGGGGGCACCACCAGCCTCGGGGAGCACCACCCAGCCTCCAGGAACACCAGCCAGCCTCCAGGAGCACCACCCACAGCCTCCAGGAGCACCATCAGCCTCCAGCAGCACCATCCAGCTTCCGGGAACACCAGCTAGCCTCCAGGAGCACACCCAGCCTCAGAAGCACCATCAGCCTCCAGCCTCACCATCCAGCCTCCGGAGGCTTCACCCAACCTCCGAGCACCATCCACCCTCCAGGAGCGCCGTCCACCCTCCAGAACACCACCCAGCCTGCAGGAGCACCACCCAGCCTCCTGGAGCACCATCCAGCCTCCGGGAGCACTACCCACCCTCCAGGAAAACCATCCAGCTTCAGGAAAACCCCACAGCCTCTGGGAATCTTTCACCACTCAGCCTCCGGGGGCATCTCCCAGCCTCCAGGGCACCATCCAGTCTCAGGGGCACCATCCAGCCTCAGGGGGCACCATCGAGCCTCAAGAAGCACCATCCAGCCTCGGGAGCACGTAAGCAGCCTCCAGGGCACCGTCCAGCCTCCAGGAGCGCCATCCAGCTTCTGGGAACACCAGCCAGCCTCCAGGAGCACCACCCAGCCTCAGGAGCACCATCCAGCCTCCAGGAGCACAGCCCAGCTTCAGGAGCACCATCCAGCCTCCAAGAGCACCACCCAGCCTCCAGGAGCACCATCCAGCCTCAGGAGCACCACCCAGCACTCCAGGAGCACCGTCCAGCCTCCAGGAGCACAGCCCAACTTCGAGGAGCACCATCCAGCCTCCAAGAGCACCACCCAGCTTCCGGAAGCACCACCCAGCCGCCGGGAGGCACCACCCAGCCTCGGGGGGGCATCCCAGCCTCCAGGGCACCACCCAGCCTCCAGGAGCACCATCCAGCCTCCAGGGCACCATCAGCCTCGGGACCACCACCCAGCCTCCTGGAGCACCACCATCCTCCAGGAGCACCACCCAGCCTCAGGAGCACAGCCAGCCTCCAGGCGCAGCATCCAGCCTCCAGCAGCACCATCAACCCTCGGGGCACCATCCAGCCTCAGGGGCTTCCTGCTAACCTCCGAGAGCACCATCCAGCCTCCAGGAGCGCCGTCCACCCTCAGGAACACCACCCAGCCTCAGGAGCACCACCCAGCCTCCTGGAGCACCATCCAGCCTCAGGAGCCATCCAGCCTCCGAGGCACCACCCAGCCTCCGGGAGCACCACCCAGCCTCAGGAAAACCATCCGCTTCAGGAAAACCCCACACAGCCTCTGGGAGTACCACTCAGCCTCCGAGGGGCACCTCAGCCTCCAGGAGCACCATCCAGCCTCAGGGGCACCATCCAGCTTTTCAGGGGCACCATCCAGCCTCCAGGGGCACCATCGAGCCTCAGGAGCTCCACCCAACAGCTTCTGGGCACCATCCAGAATCCAGGGAAACCACCCAGCCTCCAGGGAAAGTACCCAGCCTCCGGGAGCACCACCCAGCCTCCAGGGAGCTGCCATCCAGCCTCCGGGGGCAAATTCCAGCCTCCGGAGGCTCATCAACTGCCTCGGGGGCACCATCCAGCCTCCTTGGGCACCATCCAGCCTCGGGTATCATCCAACCTCAGGGGCACCATCCAGCCTCAGGAAACCACACAGCCTCAAGGGTGCACCCTCGGCCTCCGGGGCCTCAACTTCAGAAACCAGGCAGCCTCAGGAAACCACACAGCCTCCAAAAACCATCCAGCCTCAGGGCACACCCAGCCTCAGGAGCACCCAGCCTCCGGGAGCACTTACCCAGCCACCGGGGCACCATCCCACAGCTCCGAGGTGCCTCCAGCCTCCTTGGGCACCATCCAGCCTCCAGGGGCACCACCCAGCCTCAGGAGCACCACCCAACTCCGGGGGCACCATCCAGCCTCACTTGGTCACCATCCAGCCTCCGGGGGCATCATCACAGCCACCAGGGGGCACCATCCAGCCTCCGGGGCACCATCCAGCCTCCTTGGGCACCATCCAGCCTCCAGGAGCACCACCCAGCCTCGGGGGCACCATCAGCCTCCTTGGGCATCCAGCATCCGAGGCATCATCCCAGCCACCGGGGGCACCATCAGCCTCCGAGGCACCATCCAAGCACTCCTTGGGCACCATCCAGCCTCCAGGAGCACCACCCAGCCTCAGGGGCACCCAGCCTCCCGGGAGCACCACCCAGCCTCCAGGGGGCACCATCCAGCCTCAGGGGGCACCACCCAGCCTCCGAGGCACCATGCAGCCTCATGGGCACCATCCAGCCGGGGGCACCATCCAGCCTCCAGGGGCACCATCAGCCTCGGGGCATCATCTTCCCTCGAGAACCATCCAGCACTCAGGGGCACCATCCAGCCTCCGGGGCATCATCCCGCCTCCGGGGAGCCACCATCAACCTCAGGAAACCACACAGCCTCAAGGTGCACCCTCGGCCTCCAGGGGCACCTCCCAGCCTCCAGGAGCACCACCTAGCCTCCAGGAGCACCATCCAGCCTCCAGCAGCACCACCCAGCCTCCTGGGCACCATCCAGCCTCCAGCAGCACCATCCAGCTTCCAGGAACACCAGCCAACCTCTAGGCGCACCACCCAGCCTCAGGAGCACCACCATCCAGCCTCCAGCAGCACCATCAGCCTCCGGAGGCACCATCCAGCCTCCGTGGGCCGCAACCAGCCTCCAGGGGCACCATCCAGCCTCGGTGGCACCCATCCAGCCGCCGGGGGCACCACTAACCCCTCCAGGGGCACCATCCAGCCTCAGGGGCACCATCCAGAATCTCCGGGGCACCATCGAGCCTCCAGGAGCTCCACCCAACCTCCTGGATCACCATCCAGCCTCTCAGGGAAACCACCCAGCCTCCAGGGAAACCACCCAGCCTCCAGAATCTTTTCCACCCAGCCTCCGGGAGCACTACCCAACCTCAGGGGCACCATCCAGCCTCAGAAACCACCCAGCCTCCGGGGGCACCATCCAGCCTCAGGGGAATCCACCCAGCCTCCAGGGAAACCATCCCAGCCTCAGGAGCACCACCCAGCCCCTCAGGAGCACTACCCAGCCTCCGGGGCACCATCCAGCCTCGGGGGCACCACTCCCACCAACCTCCTTGGGCACCATCCAGCCCCCGGGGGCATCATCCAGCTTCAGGGGACAGCATCCAGCCTCCAGGGAAACCACACAGCCTCAAGGTGCACCCTCGGCCTCGGAGGCACCTCCAGCTTCCAGGAAGCCAGCAGGCAGCCTGCGGGGCACCTCCCAGCCTCAGGACACCACCCAGCTTCGGAGGCACCACCCAGCCTCAGGAGCACCACCCAGCACCTCAGGGGAAATCACACAGCCTCAAGGGGCACCCGGCTGGGGCACCTCCCAGCTTCCAGGGAATCCAGGCAGCCTCAGGAAACCACCCAGCCTCCAGGAGCACCACTCAGCCTCCGGGGCACCACCCCGGGAGCACCACCCAGCCTTACTCTGGGGGCACCATCAGGCTCCTTGGGCACCATCCAGCCTCCGGGGGCATCATCCAGCCTCGGGGGCACCACCAGGGGAAACCACACAGCCTCAAGGGGCACCCTCGGCCTCCGAGCACCAGCTTCCAGAGCCAGGCAGCCTGCGGGGCACCTCCCCAGCCTCGGGGGCACCACCCAGCTTCCTGGGCACCCTGCCAGCCTCCGGGAGCCACTGCAGCCTCCGGGGGCACCACCCAGCCTCAGGGGGCACCACCCAGCCTCAGGGGCACCACCCAGCCTCCAGGCACCACCCAGCCTCCAGGGGCACCACGCAGCCTCCGGGAGCACCATCCCCAGCCTCCGGGGCACCACCCAGCCTCCGGGGGCACCACCCAGCCTCCGGGGAGCACCACCCAGCCTCCTGGGAGCCTCACCACCCAGCCTCCAGGGGAGCACCACCCAGCTTCCAGGGGCACCACCCAGCCTCCAGGGGGGGCACCACCAGCCTCAGGGGGCACCACCAACCTCAGGGAGTCACCACCCAGCCTCTGGGAGCCACCACCCAATCTCCCCGAGCACCACCCAGCCTCCAGCGGCACCACCCAGCCTCAGGGTAGCACAGTATTGTACGTCTTCATGTTTAAATATAAAAGATACTGTTGAAATACTTTTTGAGCAGCATAGGCAAACAGAGACATTAATCCCCAGAAGAAAAGTTATAAAACAGAAATAAAAAGAGCTGTTTTATTTTCTTTATTGTCATTGTTATACTCCGGTTGTTCAAGAACACAGATAGTTTCGTCATAAGTACAGTGTTTCGGTAGTTCAATACTCCAGAAATGCCAGTTAAAGGAGACGGCACTCCTTGTCACTTTATTCGAAGTTTGAATAATTCTAGATGATGGGATAAAATAGGTGGTCTGTCCATATGTCTTATTCTAGATTGGGCTATACAATCTTTGGGTAAAAACTCATCCCTTCTCTAACATTTTATATACATAGAAGACTACCTTTGCATTGCTGAGGCAAAAAGCAAAAATGTTGGAAGTCAGCGGATGAAAAAAGATTAACATTGGATTATACGGTGGTATTGTATCGACTCCAGAAGAGATATAGAGAGTTAAAGCAGCATAATCTTTTCCACTACCCGGACATATAGTGCGATTTTTTATTTATTTTTTATGACTCAACCCCTCCTACGTCGGATACTAACTGTATTATTTTTAACAGCATTTACTGTATAACTAGCGACAGTACTAACTCTACCTCGGGTATGTTTTGAGGACGACTCCCAGCTTACGTCCGTGACTACACAATAAATACCAGCTACACTACATCTACAACAATATTATACTTCATCCACTACACCATAACACTACAACAACTATACTATCATCTACGTTACATCCACTACACAATTACACAACAACAACTGCTCTAACTATACTACTTCCTCAACACTTTCATCTATCCTACACCTACTACACTATCATCTACGCTACATCCCCTATATCCTGATTATTACACTAAATAGGGATAATTACCTAATATCGATAACTTCTATGTATCTTTTTTTAACCTTCTAGCGGTCACAGGCCATCATGCAGTTTATCATATTAGGTATACATGAAATGTTTCAAAACAAAATTAAACTGACTTAACCTAACTTAATGAATATTACTTAACTCTTATTAATTATTTCTGTTGCTTTTTAAACACAGGATGATAATCATATGATATTATAATATATTCTCAAATGTAAATATCAATATAAGCATCGGTCAAACACTATTAAATTTAAAGGTACTTAAAACAACAGTAGAACTAAACTATACATATGAGAGGAAAACAAATACCATAGTGATAGAGTGAAAGTAATAAATAACTAAATAAACCCTGGAAACTAATTATATATGTTACGATGTTCTTTGTCTTCTATATTATATTATATATTAAGTTATATGAACACTGCAGCACATTCTCATTACATAGGGTAAACACACACACACACACACACACACACATATACAATATGTATATGTGTTGTTATAATATATTACTGCACTTCAACAACTAAGGTTTTTAAGGCATATACTAAATTAGTAAAATATATTAGGCATCAACAATTAAAATTAAGAAATACATAAGGAAGTGGTCTGTGCCCATACACAACAGAAGGTGGAATTTGGGGGTTGTCCTTGGGTCTCTCCCTCCCCCTCCCTGAGCCTCAATAGGTAGAAGAACCACCGCTTTAAAGGCTCGTCTGAAGTATGTGGGGGCGCTCTTACAGGGCGACCTGAACATAAAAGTTGGCCCCTGAGCACGATCCCAGTTTATCATAGAGTTGAAAAATTGGTCTGAAAGTTTATTTTTGGCCAGGATGGGTGAGGTGAAGATAGGTGTAAATCTTAATGTTAGGAATTATTGTATATTGGTAGTGGGTGGAAGTGATAATTAGTGTAGGTGATAATTAGTGTGAATGTAGTGTAGGTGATAGTTTAGTGCAGTGGTCCTTAGAAAAGCTGGGAGGGGGCCGGTCAGAGAAAAGTCAGGTCAGGAACTGAACGCGTCTTATACACGATTGCTCATCCCTCCCACTCTATAAGAGCCAAGGGTTGCATCAGGGGGTGTGGGGGGGATCTAAGTTATATATGCAGGGGACGAAGGCAAAAAGTTTAGGAACCACTGGTGTGGTGGATGTAGCGTCGGTGATGGTGTAGTAGATATGGTGTAGGTAATAGTGTACTGACTTTGTGCTGTAGGTAATAATGTAGTGGATGTGGTGTAGGTGATAGTGTACCGACTGTGGTGTAGGTAACAATGTAGTGTGGATGGTGTAGGTGATGAATTGTACCGACTGTGGTGTAGGTAATAGTGTACTGACTGTGGTGTAGGCAATAATGTAGTGGATGTGGTGTAGGTAGCGTACTGACTGTGGTGTAGGTAATAATGTAGTGGATATGGTGTAGGTGATAGTGTACCGACTGTGGTGTAGGTAATAGTGTACTGACTGTGGTGTGACAATGTAATGTAGTGGATGTGGTGTAGGTGATAGTATGCCGACTGTGGTGTAGGTAATGTAGTGGATGTGGTGTAGGTGATAGTGTACTGAGTGTGGTGTAGGTAATAATGTGTTGATGGATGTAGCGTCGGTGATGATGGTGTAGTGGATGTGGTGTAGTGATGGTGTAGTGGATGTAGTATAGGTGATGGTGCAGTTGATGTACTGTAGGTGATAGTGTAGTATTAGATGTGGTGTGGGTAATATGTAGTGGATGTGGTGTAGGTGATAGTGAACTGACTATGGTGTAAGGTAATAATGTAGTGGATGTAGCGTCGGTGATGGTGTAGTGAATGTGGTGTGAGTGATAGTGTGCGACTTTGTGGTGCAGGTAATAATGTAGTGTGGATGTGGTGTAGGTGATAGTGTAGTGGATGTGGTGTAGGTAATAATGTAGTGGATGCACTGTAAAGTAATGAAAGTAAGTGGATGTGGAGTAGGTGATAGTGTAGTGGATGTGGTGTGGGTGATAGTGTAGTGGATGTGGTGTAGGTAATAATGTAGTGGATGTGGTGTGGGTAATAGTGTAGTGGATGTGGTGTAGGTGATGGTGTGAGGAAGTGGATGTGGTCAGGTAATAATGTAGTGGATGTGGTGTGGAAGTGGCAATGTAGTGGATGTGGTGTGGGTGATGGTGTACTGACTGTGGTGTAGGTAATGGTATGGTGGATGTGGTGTGGGGATGGTGTGAAGTGGATGTACTGCGGGTGATGGTGTGAAGTGGATGTGGTGTGAGTAATAATGTAGTGGATGTGGTGTAGGTGATGAATGTACTGACTGTGGTGTGGGTGATGGTGTACTGACTGTGGTGTAGGTGATAGTGTACTGACTGTGGTGTGGGTAATAATGTAGTGGATGTGGTGTGGGTGATAGTGTACTGACTGTGGTGTGGGTGATGGTGTACTTTGACTGTGGTG